AGATTGTTAATTATAATTAAAAAAATGTTAGTTAAAGTATATAATTTAATTGGGTAGTTAAAACGGTATTATGGATTAATATAATGTATATATAAAGTTATATTAAAGGATTTTTAAGGTATTTAAATAAATATATATTATGTTTTATAAATAGTTATTAAAACGGTTAATAATATAATAAAATTAAATAGTTTTGTTTTTATATTATTTATATTTGATATATATTTTAAATTAGTTAAAAATTTATTATTTATTCCTTTAATAGTAATATGTATTGTAATTATGTAAAAAATAATAAAAAAGGTATAAAAGTTTAAAATATAACGATAAGTAAGTGATGTATTAAATATAAAAAACGAATTAAATATGATAAATATATTAAAGCTTTTTTTATAATTAAAAGTGTAAGTATATTAAAAAAATAAAGGTTGGATAAAATTTTATAAATTTATTACGCGTAATAATAAAGCGTGTGTTATTAAAATTAATAATAAATTAGTTAAGTTTTGTATTATTGTTATAAAATTTTATTATTAAAACGAAATAATTAATTTTTTAAATAATAAAAGTAATAATTTTAACTGCAATTTTAATTTTAATAATATAATAAACGATTTTATGTTAAAAATTAAAGCATTAATAATTAAAAAATTACGGAAATAATTGCCAGGCAATAAAAATAAGTTTAAAAAAGTTAATAACGTAAATTATTTATTTTTAAAAAAGATTGTAAATGTAAAATTTGCGGTAAAATTTTATAAAAAAAGAAAAATTATTACGTTAAGATAATTATTTAAAAAATTTAATAAATAAAAAGTTAAGGGATTAATTGAAAAAGGTATATTTTTATTTAAATGATATAATAAGAAAAAATACGGGAATATCCGTTTATTTAATTTAAAAATTATTTATAAAATTAAAGGGAAAGTAATTAATAAATTATATAAAAAGTTAAAATTTATTATATAAAAATATAATGATAAAAGTAAAAAAGTAATATTTATTTAATTTTTAATAATATAATGCTTTAATTAATAAATTATTGTTATATTTATATTTTTTTTAATTGTAAAAGATAAAGGAATTGTAGTATAGTTATAAAATGTAATTTAAATGTACATATAATCCGATATAAATTTAAATTAAATAATTATTATAAAATTGTTAAAAGAATTAAAATATATATTCCTTAAAATAATAGTAATAATTGTAATTAAATCCTTTTATAAGATTTTTAAAATAAAGATATATTAATGGTTTATATATTTTAAATATTATAAAAAAAAATTTTTTATAACTATATTATTATATAATTTATATTTTTTAATATTAAATTTAACGGAATTATTTAAATTGGTTGTAATATAAATAAACAATATATTGGAAATATTGGATAAAGTATTTAATAAATTAAAAAATGAAGAAATATAAAAGGTAGGTTTAATGGTAAAATTTAAATCGTATTTTATAAAAAAAAACGTTATAATTTTTAATGGATGCGTAATATTAAAAGATTTGGAAGGTAATATTTATTTATATTAAAAAGATTAAAGTAAAAAAATTAAAATTATAAAGACTGGCGTAAATGTATTGCAGTAATATGTGTAATAAAAAATTTACAATGTTTATATAATTATTATATATTAATTAAAAATAACGTTTGATATATCCGAAACGGCGTAATATTAAGAATTAAGTAAAAACGAAATTATTAAATTTAATAAGAAATTTTAATAATAATTTAATAACTTTTAACATGGCCTTTAATATATTTTATTAAATTTAATAATAGTTAAAATATTTATTTTTATAAACAAATTATTTGCAAATAATAAAGATTTAAATTTTTAAATTAATTATAAAATATTTATTATTAACAAAATTAATAGTAACAAAATTTTTACTATAAAAAGTAATTTAATTTATTAAAGTTTAACAAAATATAAATAAATTATTAAAAGTATTTTAATAAGTAAAATATATATTATAATTTACGGCATAAATATAATTATAGTAATTGGCATAATAATAATGTTAATTTTTAAAAAATTAAAATTCTTGTTTACTTTAATAATTATATATATTAACTTATTTTTATTTTACGAATGTATTGTTAAATTTAAAATAATAAAAAAAAAACGGTTAATGATTAATATAATATTATTACAATAATTATATAAACGATAAAAAATAAATAATATTAAATAAATTTATGGAAAAAATAATCTAGCCAATATTATAATTAAATTAAATATTAATAAAATATTAAAGGTTTTTATTAATATTAACCGCTTTATTATAAAGTTATAAAATTAAGTTAAAAAAAATTAAAAACGTAATTAAAAAACGTTATTAAAATATTAAAACTTAATAAAATCTTTTATTTTTAATTTATTATTATAATAATTTTATACTTAATAAAAATAATAAAACAAATATTAAATTTATTAAAAAATAATTACAAAAATTATATATTTATTAAAAAAAAAAAAACTGTTAATAAAAAAGATATTTAATATATAAATTAAAACGTATTTTAAAATATACCTTAAAAAATTGCATGGAAAATGTTTTAATTATTTTATAAAAAAGTTAAATTTTTACAATAACATTTTTTAATTTAATATAAACTTTTTTGGTAATATTTATTAAATAATTATTTTATTTTTAAATAATTTTATAACATTATTAAACCGCGTAAACTTTATTTATTTAACTTTATTTTTTATTTTTTATAAATATTTTTTTAAATTTTATTATATATTTTTAACAATATTTTAAAAATATTAATAAGTAATTATATAATATATATTACGATATATATTAAACAAATATTTGGATTATTAACCTAAATTTTAATAGTTATTTTTACAAATTAATAATAATAAATTAATATATTAATATATAATTTTTAATTATTAATATAACGTTAATATTTAATTAAAGTAATTACCGTACGTTAAATAAAAGGTAAAATAAATACCTAAAATTAATTTATTATTTATTTTAAAATAATAGTAATATATTTTATTACCTATAATACTAAACTGTTAATTAATTATAATATAATAATATTATTAATATAAAATTATTTATTTTATAAATATGTTAATTTAACGCTTGGTAAATATTATAAATATATAAAAAAAATTATTATTACAAAAAATAATATTAATTTAAATTAGTTTAAAAAAAAAAAAAAAAATTTATAAAAAAAAAGCAATTTTATATTATGTAAGACTTATGTTTAAACTTACGTTTAAATACTTGGTCTTAAAAGTATAATTACGTGGTAATATAAAAAAAAAAAAAAAGTTATTAATAATAAAATATTAATTATGTAACCATATTATATAACTAAAATTATGCTTATATATATTACTTAAAAATTAACCTATATATATATAAATAAATATTTCCCATTTAATAAATCTCCCACTTTTTTTACTTAATTAAATATAATTAATTAAATTATTTTATTTAAATTACTTTATTATTTTTTACCTTTCATATTACGTAATATATAGCAATACTATTGCCACTTTAACATTTTTTTCGATTTTTTTTTATTTAATTATTAAAATTTTTGTATTTTTTACAAATTTTTATGACTTAAATCTGTAACGTTATTAATAATATAAAAAGTTTATATTTTAAATTTTAAAAGCCATTAAAGTTAAAAATTATATTTTTAACCGCATCTTGGTTAATATTGGTCCAAATCACGTGCAATTAAATTTAAAATTTTTATTATTTTTTAATTAAATTTATAATATCTTTTATATATTTTTTATATTTATTTTTATATTTTTTATATTTATTTGTATAATTTTTATATTTATTTTTATAAAAAATAAATATAAATATAAAAAAAGTTTTTTATAAAGTTTAAAAATATTAAATAAATGTAAAAAAACGATTTTAAATTAAGTAAATTTTTTTTATAATTTTTACAATTTTTTATAATTTGTTTACTTTTTTTATATTTTATATTTTTAATATAAAAATATGGTTACAATGCGAGTGGAGTATATACATGGATTTAAACGAACGGACCATGTTTTACATGGCCGTGCGTGGTGGCTTTATGTGGCTTTATGTGGCTTATGTGGCGTATATCACGTGCAAAGTGGATGGGTTGGGAAACTATTAAATTTTACCTGGGAATTTAACGTTACTGAGCAATGCTGTGTCTCAACAAGACTTCAATGGGAGATTGATGTACGCCCTGGCACGGGGTAGTAGCGGGCATTAGGAGGTGGGTTATATCACAGAGCTTGTGTCGGGGGTTCGGTCCCAGGAAAGATCTGAGATGAAACGGGTACGGACCGGAATACCTATCCCCGCTGTTAATCCCGCCGTGAGCGAGATTATAAATAGCGGGCTGGTAGGAAGCTAAGCTGATCTAGTTAGCGTTTCCCAATTCTCCATCTTGGTGCGTCATTCTGCCGAGGCGTTCCCCAGGCACCTCACCGCCTGCTACCCCAGTACGACACGTACATAGTACGTAGGTTTCAAAGTATTACTGTACACTACCCGGTGCATCACCACACGACTCGAACATTAGGTAGGTTGGGGTTAAAATGCGCGGGTGTTGTACGGAACTCTATGGAATGAAAGCGACATGACTTGGAACGGATTTCTGTTGAGTTCTTTTTACTCTTGACTAAACGCTTAGACGTTTTAAATTTTAGACTGTTGATCACGGGCAATTAAAATTCTTGTTGATACATGTACGTTGGTACATGTTGGTACATGTTATGTTCTGAGCGACCTACATCAGTGACTGACGCAAGGACACAAAGACGCAAGGCTTGCTTTTATGAATGTACTTCTACTACATACTCGTACTGAAAATCGAACGATACGTGACGGCTAACCCAAAGTAGGGCGGTTGCAGAAGTACTTGAGCTAGGGTGGGTACCTATTTGCGAGCCGCTAATACCTTGTAAAGGATAGACAGTTCTTGCACTTAGCTATATGTACGTGCAGAACTAAGGCGAAAACTCCACTAAAATGTAAACCAGAAATACCCCTACCGTTCGAACCTGCCCTAACGTACCTAAGTGTAGATGCAGACTTATTAAAAGGGCGAGCCGTCGAGGACAATAGCCTGGTTCGCCGTCCCGTCCAGTCCAGTCCAAAAAACAAACCCTTTTCCAACCGTTGTCAACTCATTTGTCAACCTCCTTTTTAACTTTGCATCCTCAAATACCTATCGTCTACCAGCCGTAGCGTCTCATCTCCCGGTCCCGCATTCACTTACCATCACTTATTTTCGCTGACAAGATGAGATTGCTGCTACGTCTTGCCAATATGACCGGTACTCTCGATTCTCTTTGATCTGGCGTCTGCCGGACCGGACGACATCTTCCAACTCATCTTCCTATCAGCACTTGCACTTTAAATACGAGACACGCACTCCCCAATCTTACTGCTTAAATACTTCGCTTCTCCGCCTACACGGCAGGGTATTAACTGGACAATTCGGAACCAACCGCCGCGCCTCGCTTCCCTTGCAGAATACGCCATCAGCTCAGGCGGTTGGAAGATATGCTGTCCTGGCGAAGCCAGGATCACGGCGAGGACCTGGAGTCCTTACAAGATCGCAATGACGTAACCTATAACGAAGAAAAACTCGAATCACCTCACGCGATGGGAGTTAGTACGGAGTCTCCTGACGTCGTTCTTCGGGAAGCATATGTTTCCGCAAAGGACATAGCTGTTGAACGACCACTACTATTTTCCGGCGCTCCGCCTGTCAATTTTGCCGTGGTTCTTCCCGGCTTATATCGAAGTGGCTACCCAAAGGCTGCGGATTATCCGTTCATGCGGACCCTCAAGCTTAAGACCATCGTCACCCTAGTCGGAAAAGATCTCCCCGACGGCTATCAGCAGTTTATTGAGGCGAACCGTATCAAACACGAAATATTCGACATGACCGGCACGAAAAAGGCCGAGATCCCTATCAAAATGATGCAGTCGATCATCTCCATCGTCAGCAATCGGGAAAACTATCCTTTGCTCATCCATTGCAATCAGGGTAAGCACCGGACAGGATGCGTCGTCGGTATCCTGCGCAAGACTAAGGAGTGGGACACGGCCAGCATTATTCGAGAGTACAGCAAATATGCGGAGCCGAAGGTCAGAGAGACGGACGTCAAGTACATCACCGACTTTAAAATAGCCGATATTCCGAGAGTCGCGCCAAGACTGACCGGGGCGCCTTACATTGTGCGAACATTCTACGGCATGGTGATGTTGGCGTCCTTTACATTGTCGGTTTGGATGTACTCTGGCGCCAGGCTCCTGATACTCACAACAACATAACTATCGATGGCGCCGCTTCAATGATCAGATCTTATAGATGGACACATTCCCACGTATGTCTGAAGAGGCACAATCAGAATAGATAAACCCAATGCGATTAAACAGGTTGCGTAGAGTTAGTACTACGCTCAGAAGAGGGAAGAGGGGAGCGGAGATTTGGGGTAAAAGCTACACCATATGAGGCGTTGAGAAGAAAAAAAAAATGATGGCATTTCCGCGGGTTGAGATACAGGGGTTGTACCGGTGGTCGGTTTAGGAGACGATCAAGAGCTGAGGTGTCTCCTGGCGTTTGATTAAGGGTTGGTTCCGACGGACAACTCCGTCGCATCTTTGATTTATATTCTTTTGTCAAAAGGGTTTGTGGTTTCGGTAATTCGTCAGGATCCAGATAATGGAATTGGAGATCTCTGGTTGCAACTTGGATGGGTTAGACAGATGTTAAAAGAGTGCCGTGAAGCTTAATAATAGGCACGCTCGCATCCAGAATTATACTTCTTTCCACGTTCGAAGAGCTTTACTGATGTGTGACCTTGTATTCCGTGATACGGCCCAGTCTAGCTTTATATACGTACGGGCAGATATATGTACAAGCGATCTCTAAACCCCCTATGTGATATTCGTACAGCATCATGCTTTTATTTCTTCGGCACCTTTCATTCGCGCTAGGATCCCTCTACTCGACCCAACGCGGGTTATCTGTCCTCTCGGCCTTCTCCCTCTCCCGATCGCCTGTGCCGTATACCCACCCCGCGGCAATGGCGTTGATGATTCCTATACCAACGGCAGAACCTCTAACTAACCCCCTGACAGAGAAGCGATTTATGAAGGTGCTAGGCCGCCTTCTCATGGCGAGTAGAGCGTACGTGCCGCTAGCAGCAGCGGTGATGCCTGCGCTATCGATTTTGAAGCCTTGGAGATTTGCATAACTAGAAAAGAATAGGATAGGTACGAAAAGCATAGGTCGAATCTGCAGTGGGCGAAAGTGTACGGCCGTTATTAAGGTCGCGAGGCCCGTGGGGGCGAATGGGGAATCTGTCGTGCGTATTAGCTACCTAGATAGCTACCTAGCTATGCGTTCGCGAAACAGATGGCAATAATGTTAGGAGAGAATACGTACTTCCCCATGCTTCGAGGCGCGATCTTACGGACCTCGACGGCTCTAGTGTTGCCATGATTAGAAGCCGTAGTATTAGCTTGAAGCTCTCTTGATTTGGGTTTTCTTGATTTAGTGTTAGGAAATTCTCAACACTAGATTAAAATCCAAGAGGCAAAGCTTGACATCAATGACGATGGTGAGGCTCGGTCAAACAGAGATTCTTATTATTCTATTGGATAGAGACTTGAATTATAGCGGGGTGATTAGGATAGTATTAGTTCTATATCAGTAGCATGTACCAGCCACAACAAATGCGGTCTAAACAAGCCACATATGTTTTAGCTCTATCACCTATCACCTATCAATTACATGTAACCTTCAAGCACCTTAGACTGAGAATCGTGGAACTTTAGAACTTGAGAACTTCCGAGTTCTCGTCTCCCATTTATAGCCTCGATTTTTAATTCGACGACAACTTCGACCGCCTACGTTCCCCTAATTGGGCCTGGCCGAGTTTCGCCTCCTGGATTTTGCGCTACGTTTGTAGAACCTCTTTTTTTATTCGTTAATAGGTTTTCGTTTGGTACATCCGTTCGTTATTCGTCATTCGTCATTCGTCATTTGTTCCGTTCACGATAGTCTCATCCGCCCTTCTCCGTGCTCGCTTGATCTAGACCACCTAAGCCCAAATCGAATTAGCAACCAATACTATATACGTAATCGCGACTATCACTACCCGTCTCTCCGTATCCGTCCTCCCGAGTACGGTCTCGCTCGGCCATGCCCAGCGCAACCTCTTCCGGCTTCGACGCCTCGGGCGGGTCGACCCGGTCGCGAGATCATAACCAAGGAAACCAGGAACGCAAGTGTACTCCCGAGCAGAAAGCCGCGGTCCTGCGAATCCGGCGGTGCAAGGCGACCGCCTTCTACGACATCTTAGATCTCGAGGCCGTGCGGACGACGTGCAGCGATGCCGACATCAAGAAGGCTTACCGCAAGCAGTCCCTGCTCACGCACCCGGACAAGAACGGCCACGAACATGCAGACGAGGCTTTCAAGATGGTCAGCCGTGCCTTCGGCGTGCTAGGCGACAAGGAGAAGCGCGAAAAGTACGACCGCTTTGGTACCGATCCGGATAGCAGGTTCGAGAGCGCGAGGGCCCAGGCTAGCAATCCGTTTAATAATTTTGGTGGCATGAGACCTGGTGGAGGGCCGGGGGCAGGATTTGGCGGGGCAGGCATGTGGGAGGACGAGATCAGCCCGGAGGAGATGTTCGAGAGATTCTTCGGCGGTGCTTTTGGCGGTCCTTTCGGAGGTGAGTTACCCGCCTTCTATCCTTCTCTCTCGAAGGATGCGAACGGAGGGGATAGAGATCTAACGCGTGCTAGGGTTCGATACGGGACCGCAGTTCGTATTTAACATCGGCAGAAACAGGGGCTTCCGCGTACACCAGATGGGAGGGGCAAATCCGCGCAGGAGACCTCGGGAAGCCGAAGGTCAGCAGCGGCCTCAGACGGGCTGGGACACGCTCATCAGCCTGTTACCGATCCTATTCCTATTCGTGTTCCCGCTGCTATCATCTATATTTTCGGGCGGCGAAACGCAGCCGGCAGTACCCTCGATGGTTTTCGACGCGGCTGTACCGCCCCTAACTTACCACCGAACCACCCCCAAACTTGGAGTCGATTACTACGTAGATCCAGCTCAGGTGGTCGACTGGAACGACTACCAATTTCGTCAGTTAGATAAAGAGGCCGAGGTCGGTTTCGTGCGCGTCCTCCGCCGCCGCTGCGATGCCGAGATGCGCACCAAACGCGACCTGATCGACAAGGCGCAAGGGTGGTTTTTCCCGGATCCAGACAAGATGAAGATTGCCGACCAGTTTGAGATGACATCATGTAAGCGTATGGATGCCCTGGGTATCTCGCGGTAGCGCACCTCTGCAACTTGACTGTATTATTTAGACCTGTTGTCTAAAGACGTAGGCGAGTTCGTGAGAGATTTAGTCGATATGACTGCTTTGACGTTAATGAAAAGGAGCTACGCGTCGATTAGGCCGGCGGGATTTTGACAGATGCACCAGGCGTTCAGGGGGAGAGATTGGGAATCAATAGGGTAGCATATCCTCTGCCAAGTCTAGTAGTGCGCGGCGGACGTGGGAGTTCTCATATTCGTGTGATCATATATAGGCATTCCTATTTGTGCCACGTTTTGGCCGGGTGCGTTTCGACTTTTGTAGACCGTGTTAATACTGACTTACCTACCTTGCAGTCGTGCTTGGGACGAATCTTGAAGGCACATTTACCCTTATGACCACCGGATTCTCGTAGTTACCTATCAATAATGCACTCGTATATTTCCCATAGACTAGACGCGGAGTGACGGCAAGGACAAAAAATGGTCACCAAATTTAATACTGACAGCATAGCACGAATATTACTCCAGCGCGGCCTTGAAAGCAATGGTAAATTCCAACTTGCCACAAAGCTTTTAGCAAAGTTAAACCCTAAGGTTTAGGATTCTTAGGTTTGATTAATAGGTCAAATCGCAACATCTACGTAATACGTAGGCGGTATAAAGTCTAAACAAGCGCTACAACCAGGCGGCGGCCCGTGGTTTTATTAATTCGCATGAGCAACGCTCGACATGACTTGATGTGATATGTGAATTTTCCTTTTTCGTGCGGGCACGAGAGTAAAAGCTGTCTCGCTTATACTTCGTCTACCTCATTCCCCGCCGCGGATCCATGGCCTCGTTACGTCTAAAGTCCCGAATCTCCTTGGTGCCTAAACTTCCTAGACCCCCCTCGCTCCTACGCTCCCATCCGCCGAGCCTAACTACGAGGCATGTTGCGTTATCGCCGTCGCCGCTGACTTCGGTGGCATACGCCACAACGTCCCTAGCACCCTGCTCCGGCGTCTTCGCCTCCTTTACCACGTCCACGATCTCTTGATCGCTCAACGTTCCCGACACGCCGTCGGACATAAGGACGATGAAGCTGTACTGAGCCGGCCCCAGCTCCGTCCGCGTGATCTCCGGCTCGGCTGAGACGCCTAGACGCTTGGATGCCATGTCGCCAAACGCCCGAGAGTTGGCAAGCCCCTGAATCCGCTCTTCGCCGAACGAGTCCGTCACGAAGGATGCCGCAAACCGTCGCAGCCGATGCGACTCGCTCGGAGAGCTTGGGTGATGATCTGAAGTTAAGGGACGAGACAAACCGGTAGCAGTCTCGCACAGCAGGATGCGTGTATCACCCACGTGTCCGACTAATAGGGTGGAGCTCGCTGCCGGGTGCCAGAACGGAGCAGGCGTCGGTGTAGAGATGAGAGCGACCGAAGCTGTCGAGCCCCCTTTAAATCTTGTGCGGCCGCCGATGCCCTGGCCTGACGGCGGCAGATGGTGCGGCTTTCCCAGCACCTCGTCAAAATTCAGAGCCGTATCGGCTACGTAGGGATCGTCGGGGTCGGGCTTGCGGGCTTGAGCGGCGATAAAGTCGAGGTCTGCACGGAGGAACGCGTACGTGAGGACGGACTCGACGCTAACAGGTGGTTCGGGGGAATCGGGATCCCGCTTCAGTTGAAAGTAAGGAGGGTGGAAGCGCCGGAAATACCCGCCGACCGTACTCTTATATTCCTTTACTAGTTCGCTCTGCAGCTGCAGGGCCTTTGATGTCGATGCTTTAGCCGGCACGGGCTGAACACCCTCTATAGCGTCGGGGTTTTCGACTTCGCGGACCGCGCCGCGCTTGTCTATTTCTGGTATGTCTGCCTTAGCTGACACGGCCTCTGAACTCTTGATATCCAGCCGGTCGAGTCTCTTCTGTCCGCCAGCTTCGCTGTCTGATAAGATTGGAGTTGGCGCGCTAAGAGATTCCGAATCTGACCTGTGGCCCTTCCGCGCCGTTCGGAGGCTACTTTTTAGCTCGAACTCTTCGGCTGCCTCCTCGATATATCCGTGGAGCTCGTCCCGTAGGAAGTCGCTGCACTGGGTGCCTCCGTGACCGTCGAAAACGCCAAAGTAGAAGATCTGGGGATCTCCGTAGGGGCTGTCGGCTGAAGTTCCTTCTCCATTCTTGTTCATGGTGCTGCGGACGAGGCTGATGGGGGCCCGCTTTGCGAACGCGGGGATGTCGATGGTGCCGGCCTGATTCGTGTCTTCATTGTACGGCCTGGATCCTCTCGAATCCGCGACTCCGAAGTGGTGCTTAGCGCTACGCAGGGGAATGCGCACCACGGTCAAGTCGCGGTTGGGTGGCAAGTGAGGCGGAGACACGGGCGCCGCACCGGAAACTGCCGTGTGAGGCGCGGCGGCAGAGCGAGGTAGCTTGTGGTGAGGTCCGGTTGGGGCGCGAGAGTCCGGATGTAGCGAGGAGGACGGGAGGTGCGTGACGAAATAGGTGTGAAAGCTACGCTGGACGTTGTGACGAGGCGCGATCTTTGGAACTCGTGATTCGACGCGGGACGAAGTGGCATTCGCACTTTGTGGTACTGGTACCGAGCTAGAAGGTCGTTGCGCTGCTGTGCACCTTACAACCGCTCGGCGCGTATACGTACGCGTCTGTGTCTCGAAGAATGTTGCGATGAAGCCTACTCGAAGGACGTGTTAGCCGGCTTGGGACTTTGGCAGAAGCTCGAGATAGAAATATGCAAGACCCTAGAATATCTAACTGACCGTAGGTATCGTTTAGAGACCACCGCTTCGGACGACCGCGACTAAGTCCCATCTCGACGTAGAAATGCTCGTGGAGCGAGAGGGTATTTTACTTGTTATAACGAGGTCTATGGGACTTGCGATGTACCCATCAGATCGAGACGTGAAGACTTAGAAGATGTAGGAGTTGATCGAGAAGCCCCGAAGCTCGAAGTAGAGAAACGCTCAAAGGATAAGGGACTAGGCATGCCCACCTAGTCTTGGTAATAGTCCCTTGGTAATAGTTCTATGTAAATAATAAGATAACGCAGGACTCGAAAGAGGCTAGAAGCAATACTATGTAGACCTAAGAGGTTAGGATACCAATTGGCAAAAACCTGAACGAGGATTATTTCTGAGACGCCGACAATGTTCTTAGCCAGGATTAACACTGATAGAGAATGCCTGTCATAGGAGATTAGATTATATGCAAGCTTATTGCTTATTTGTTGGGATTAGATGGGATGAGGTTCGAGGTTTTGGGGAAAATGCTGTGAGGTAGGATTGACAAGACTGGCTTGCCTGGGCCGAATTACAAGAAGTCATTACCCCAACCCGACGCCTTGGACCGTTATAGGCTGGAAGGTTCCACTATCTGCATCTTACATAGGTACCTTAGGCACACTAATTAGCCTCGTTCGTCGACGTCGTTGTGGAGCGAATTTACACTATCTAGTGCAAGCACCTAGGTACCTAGGTTATCAGGTACATATACATATTGTATGAACTGCCCGTACAGAAGACGCTTATGTGCTATGCCGTCATACCCGAGTACTAGTTCAAAGAATCTATGCGGGGCTATATTTCGCTTTGGGCCGTCTAGCAATATAATGTGCGATAAGATAAAGATGATAAAGATAAAGAAAGAATACGGGGGATACGAGGGGTACGAAGGAATCTGCATTTACACGACATTGAAACAAACGAATGGCTTTTCGAGTTTTTCGAGTTTTTCGAGTATACCGCTCAATCTCTCGGCCTTGTAAACGTATAACGGTCGATAGTCAAGCAAATCAAATAGTCCGCATCCTCACCAAACTACGTTCGTAAAAGACAGAAGAGGAGCTGGATCCTGATCCGGCAAAGATCCAAGTCTTATGTAGCATCGACCTGCACCTCCATTTCCACGCGGACAACACAGCAGAGACTAGCGCGCGGTCTAAACTCGTTATTGAATACATATCCCCTCTCTCCCGTTCGTATCCTCTCTTAGACATTACCTTAGACATTACGTCTCTTACCGGACCGGATTATGTCTATATCCAATGTCGGCTCCGTCGTCTTACACCTCGTGGTATTCGTGACAACCCTTGTCAACTTTCACTCGGCGTTAGCTCACGTCGAACCTGTCATACTCATCGCCATATACATAATCTCTAGGCTCTTCGCCCGGACCCCCGAGGAATTTTGCATGCTAAAATGTCCCGAGTTCTAAGTACCCAGGTCGATGTCGAAGGAACCGTCAACGGTTATGTGACGCCCAGCGAAGAGTACTTCGACCGAGGCGCCTCTTCGCCGGTTCTGTCGCTGTCGAATCGGGATCGGCGGGAGAAGAGGCCACCCCCGGTTTCTCTCCGCGCTCCACCTAACGCTGATAGCCTAGCTAGGATGATCTCCAACGCTAGGAAGTCGAGAGGCGGAAAGAAGATTGGAATTCGGGATCGGATATGTTGCCACCAATGGACTTGGTTCACGATGGTACGTTTTTGATATAATATGAAATTCCCAAGTGTTGCTTCTTGGCCGCTAACGTCGATTTAGACTATGGTAAGCTGAGCTGTCAAAAACACTTGTACCCGCGGTCTTATCTGTCGGTTTCCTGTATATTTAACGAATTATCAACATAGGCAACCGGCGGCGTCGCTAACGTCCTCCATTCCGTATGGACCCCGTACCGCGCCGACTGGCTCTGGTACATTGGACTCGTCTTTTTTCTCTTTAATCTATGCCTCTTCGTCATGAATTGCGTCTTAATTACGATGAGATTTGTCATGGTCCCCGGAAGTTGTCTGCACTCGTTCCTAGACCAGATGGAGTCTCTCTTCATCCCAGCCGTGGTAAGCTCCGTTCGTAATCTCCCCGTCGGCGTGGAGCTCACGTATCACTCGATAAATAGGTAGTCTCGTAAGTAGCACGCAATCGTACGAGTCTCCCGCGCGCTTACCGACTACGAACGCAGTACAGCCACCATCCTAATCAACACCTGCGAATACGGAATCCCCGTGACCGGCCCCTGGTTGCAGCGCGTGATGGAATGGCTGTTCTGGATCTATATCGTCGTCAGCGTGGTGGCGAGCGCTGGCATGTACCTGATCCTATGGTCTACTCAGTTAGTCGGCCCAGCCCCTTAACCGTCTGGTTATACCTAACATATCGCACCCGCTTGCAGAATCTTTCCTATCCACACCATGACGCCCGTGTGGGTTTTCCCCGGCTATCCCCTTCTCCTGACCGCCCCGTTTGCCAGTACGCTCATAGCAGCAAACACGGCCGCTTCGGATAACCCGCCGGTCGATAGGTTGGCGATCGCGATGTGCGCAATAGCGGTGCAAGGGACCGGGTTTCTCATTAGCTTCATGATATGCGCCGCGTTTATCTATCGACTTATGACTCAGAAGTTACCGAGAGATATGCAACGACCGGGCGTTGTGAGTTCTGACGAATGATATCTCTTGAGAAAGGCTGATGCTCATGTAGCTAGTTTATTTCTATCGGACCTAGCGGCTTTACGGTAGCAGGATTAGGTAGGACTTCCCGTTTACATTTCGTCCCGCCGTGCAGTTATGACCTACCAAAGCACTCGGGCTAACGCATAGGTAGTCTCCCTCGGCCAGCAATCCGATGTCGTTATCCCGGACAATTTTCAAGGCTCGACCCACAGCGTCGTGATCCTGCGACTGCTTTCGACCATCGTCGGGTTGTGGCTTTGGGGTCTCAGCGTCTGGTTTTTCCTGGTTTCGGTCGGCTCCCTTCTGAAGTACGTACGCCCCGAACGCAAGATGCCTTTTCAGATGACCTGGTGGTCCTTCGTCTTTCCAAACACGGCCCTCGTGACTGCGACCTTAGCGCTAGCCGCCGCACTCGGTAGCACTGGACTTCGCATCACCGGCTGCGCAATGGCCGCCGTCCTAATCGTCGTCTGGGCGCTTGTCTTTATTTCCATGTTACGATGTCTCTGGAATAGGGAGCTGCTGTGGCCAAAGGAGTTGGAGAGCGAGTAAACTGGGGATGGAATACGAAGCAAATACTAGAAAAAGCTGGGCATTTTTATCATATCATCTAGAATCCTAACGCGGCAAGAGATTGGCATTTAGCTATAGTTAGAGTGATTATACCCCGTATCCGATAGAGCTTCGGAGGCAAAAATGGCCCATGTCCGGAATTCGACGGAATAGACACAATTAGATTATCTCAAATTTAGGTACTGTTCTATTTCCAGCATGTAAATGCCTGCCTGCCAAAGCGAACGAGGAGGCGAGGTGGATGTGGAATATCAATATGTACTTGTAATACTTTGTGCACAATCATCATAATATTTCGTCTGCACCGATATTCTAAGGTAGCTAGTCGATCTCTTCAATCTTAGGCCTCGCCTTCGGCTCCAAAGAAGGCAAGCTTGGAGCGGCCCCTATATCCAGCCCAGCTAGTCGCGTCAGCGCACCCTGGTCGTTCCGGACCTCTGCAGCGGGCGGCACCAAAGTGCTTAGTTGCCAATTATGTAGGCTCTCTACAACGTCTCTCGCGTGCTGCCGTACCAATCCGTCGTTGTCCGTCTGAGCTACGTACTCTAGCACGCGCGCGATATCCTGCCGGCTCGGGTCGGTTAACCCGAAGCCAAGACGTCTGCCGCTCTCGCGCGCATCTGCGAGCGACCGTACGAAATGCAGGATGAGTACGATGGCAGCTCGGCGAAGTATGCCGGTCTCTGGGCCTGTTTCGAGGGCGAGAACGTTAAGACACAGATCGACAGATGCTTCGACGAGAGGGGCGCCTAGCCCGGCGACGTTGGTCTCGATAGCAACCGAGAACACGGACAGCGCCGAGGCACGCATACGCACGTCCTCGGCTCCGCGCTTGCTCTCCCAGCCGGACACGATCTGCGCGATGAACTCGTTGCGCGCTTTCTCGTCTTCCGTCTGCTCGTCGTCGAGTTCGCTAAGGTCGGGCACCTCGCCCTGCCAAGCATCCTGTGCGGCCTTGTTCTTCATCTGCCCGAGCCGCTCCTGGCGATCTTGTCTTGCCTTTGCTTTAGGACGCTGAGCGCGCCGTCCCGCGATCGCGAGGAGCGCTTCGCCTACCTGCCGTGCTGTTTCGCCCGAAAAGGTCTCGCCGAGGCGCTGGACTACTTGGAGCAGTGCCTCGCCGAACCGGAGACGAGTGTCGGTGGTCTCTAATTCGTTAGCGTCGACATAATGCTCCAGGATCTCCTTGGTGGTTGAGCGAGGATGTCGGTCGGCGAGCTGAGTAAATAGCTTTACCACGGTCAAATTGACATAGTCGTCATCTTCATTCAGCAGAGATGAGAGGAGGACTAGAGTGGCTTGAATATCGAGAATGGGGCTGCTGGCTCGTATCAGGCTAGACAGCAGATTTAGACCCTCCGTGCGCACCGGCGGGGGCGAGTCCGGCTGCGTGATATAGGAGATAGCTAAGTTGTAAGTCTTGCGGTCTTCAACCTGGCGATCTGTAGGCGCTGTCGTCTGCTCAGACGGATCTTCTATGGCATCTCGGTACTTCAGCAGGAGAGAAAGGTTTCGAGCCGTTTGCGATACGTCGGTCGCTTGTAATTTACTTATTTTCTCGAGGGAATTCTCTATAGATGCGAGAAGACCGGCGCGGACATTTGCTTTCTGAAAGCCGGGAGCCGTGACTACGAGATTCAGCAGGCTGAGCGCTACGGCTGTAGCGTCGTCGTTGGCTGTAGCCGATGACGTTTCGGACCCGCCTAGTATCTGGCTGACGAGTTCGAGCATTTGCTTCCAGCTCGAGACTAGCCGGCCGGATAGCTTCTCCATCATTTTCTGCAGTACTTTGGCCTCTATCAGCTGCGCTGCCGGGTCTTTCTGCTTCCCCGCGTCCGGGTTTAATTTGATCTCTCGCGTAGTATCCGTAGAACCGAGCGAGTCTCGTAGCAGGCTGAGGAATAGTGTAGATATATCCGAATCGGTTCCGACCGACTGCAAGAGCTCTAGAAAGGCATCCGACTTAGACTCCAAAAGTCCCAGGTTCAACTCGATTTCTGCATCATTTGTGCCTCCCCGTAGGCGTTTCACCTGGATGTTAGAATCCCCGACCATATCAAATAGCCATCGAACCTTAGACGCGCTCCTACTTCCGTTTACGAGAAGGTTGCTAAGAAGCGTTTGGAACTTCTCCGGAGAGCCCGAAATTTTGAGATATATTTTCAGGAGAGCATTCGCTGGGTTTCTATAGTGCTCGTCAAACTCGCTACTCGCAGGCGGCCAAGACGATAACGTCCATAGCGGTAGCATCAATGGAGCAAGCAGTCTCTTTGTCAAGCCGGGATTCGGATGCGAGTCCAGCAGAGAAGACAGGCGTCTTAGCGCGTTACGCAGATCGACCGCTTCGACGAGGATAGCTTCTTTACGTAAGTCGACAACCTCGTCAGGGCCGGCACTGAATACGAGGGGTTCTCTCGTAGGCTCCTCGGACGATAGAGTAGGGTTTATCCTGGAGAGCATTGGCTCGGCAAACGCTTTCCACCCAGGCATTCCTAAATCTTGGTATTAGCGGATACAACTTTGCAAGAGGTTCCCCTGTCGAGTCGTACCAGGAGCCCCAAATTGCTTCCTCCCTAATACGCCGAAACCGATCACATAAGCGGCCGCTTTCGCAAGATCTGTGCCGTCTTTCCCGTCGAGGAGAACCAGAAGCTGGGGGGCAATGCCGGGAAACCATTGCTCCGGCGGAATGGTAGCGGGTGGCGTAGACAGCAGTTTAGAGGCGAGTTTAAGAGCCTCCATAGTGATATTTGCACCTTGCTTCTGAGGTACGGCCGCCTCGGACGGGTTTACAGCGCTCGAGGGGTGGACGGAAAAGACAAATTCCAAGGTGGCCCGGACGCCATCATGTCGCTGGGGAAGCAAGGTGAGCACATCCATTAGATGGATTCGAAGCCATGCCGGAACGCGGTCGGGCTGGGTCAAATTGCTTAGAGCGGACATAAGTGCCATGGTATTGGACCTACGACGATGTTCAGAGAAGGAAAATAGAGTTTTGTCAGGCTACCTACCTCGACAAGACGGTGCTAAGTTCCCGCTGGCCTTCCGAGCGAGATTCCCCGTCGCTTTGAGGCTGAAAGGCCTTTAAAGCAGCCTTCTCGATTGCGGATTCGAGCGTACTCTTTTGGCGATCCATGATGGCGTGGCAAGGAAGTTTACAGATTCCTTTCTTCAGACGTGAGATTAGAGAAGTCTGGTTCGTATTTATTAAGCTTACTTTATAGCATATCCAAAGATGTTAAATTTAGTGTACGGGACATGACCATAGCTAATATAGAATGTACCTATGTAAGAGCTACGTCGATATAGATTACTATGGAAATGAATGAGAAGCAGTTGACGTTTGTGGGGTTATAGGATAGAGTTACGTACCTAATACCTGTAGGTACCTACATGTAACTAGCGGTACTTCGAGTTAGGTACTTCCACAGCGGGGTCAGATGACATTGTAGCACGCTCAAATGGCACGACGCGACCCTTTTAAATTCTCGCGTCTTACACTTTATTTACTTTCTTTTACTTCCACCAATCATCATACTCCTATAGCATCCATCACCAACTTCCATCTATCCTTTATCGGAGACGAGTCTGCTGTTGATATCCAACCCGAGATACAGGCTGCATTACTCTGTCGCATTTTTATCTCCCTCGAGTTAGAACTCTTTCGCTCGTATCTTCTTCCCGGCGGAGAAGATTGAGCACGTACAAACCTCGCACTACGCCTCCCCTACGGTCCTCCGATTCTCATTTTCCGCAAGGAATGTCTTCGCGACCCCTCGGTTGAATCCAAAAACGCCTCGTACGATACGTCGCTGCTCGGGGTCCGACCCGATGAGCATTGCCGCGTGAGGATCGTCGTGCGAAGGTAGTCAGTCGCACCTGGCTAACGGATCAACTGCCAGGGAATGGAGTCTCGGAACTTAACCCTAACTACCTTTTGGTTCCAAGTCTTGCGCTTATAACCTTCTAGATTCCGCTTTATAAGCTTCTCGTTGCGCCTGCGAAAGTCTTACCCTGCTGAGAAGCAGGTTTGGCTGATCGGGACTTCGAGGGGTGGAAGGGTGGTGGTTAGATACTCCAGTCGCCTTCGGGTGCGCGAAGTGCCTTTGCTATGAGTCGTGCCGTTAAGAACTCCTGGCCCGGAGTCGCTCGTCAGCTCTGCGCCGCTGGAATTATACTCTGATCTACGTCACCGTGCTGGCGATGCTTGTGCGGGCTGGATACGATGGAAGATGGTTTTCTTGGCAGCTTGCTGCTGTTGACCAGATGTAGCATTGACCTTTCTTGGGTCGGCTATGCGCCGCCGAGGATGACAGGGAAGAACGTGACGCTGGCTACCTACAGTCGAAAATCCGGGATAATTTCATCTTGTCGCTGGCATCGTTCGCCGGAATCACTTACGGTGCTGTCTCGCGACTAAGCCAAGTGAGCGACGGCCACGCGGCTACAACAGAAAGTTTCCCTGAGCCCTTCGATACCTTTACCGCCGCGTCATACGCTCCGAGTACCCTGTCCCCTCTGGTCGCAGTCTGATCATCTGCAGTTGTCGGTGTAAAACCCGACCCTTTTTGAGCCGTCACGAATCCATCCACTCCACCTGCTCTAGCCCTATCCAACTCTCAGCACCGCATCGCGGCAGCAGCCACTGATGCGTCATTCTATGAGGTGAGATCAGGCGCATTAACCTCATCCCGTGGGTCTTGTCCCACGACGATAGGGGACGCCAAACCTATTTATCAGCTGCTCTCGCGGCAGTTGATGAGTATCCCTCGCCTCTGCCAGACATGGACTGAGGAGAGATGACAGCGCGACTTTTATGGACGTCTTTTGGTCGTGCGGAAATGCCCCCCTTTGCTGCTTGTTAGAGCTCGTCGGGGAGGAATCAAAAACCAGTCCGCGTTGGCAATGCGTTTAACAGAAAGAGCATTTCTTGAGATCGAGATTGGTGTGAGAGGTCGATGCAACCTGCCGGTTTCAGCAGTAGACTTTGTCGATGATGGTATGGGATCATGTGGGAAGTAGGTTCCGTGGAACTGTTGCGAGGCACACACGATTCTACAGTCCGTCGGATGCCACTCTCTATAGGGACAGAACCGGGATCCATCTCGTGTTGGATTCAAAGCTTAGCGCTTGTCCGGGTCTATTCACTGAAGCGAGTAGCGTCTGTGCGGGAAGTCTCAGTGTCGATTTTTTTTTTGGATGTTTGTAAGGACAGGCCAATAAGGAGGGTAGTCCTAGGTTGTCCTCTACTCTACGGGTAGAGGGCAGCCCCCTGCTTTAGGGATAAGTCTCACCGCCGTCCTCGAAACGTTCGCATCAGTTGCTAACATCGAGCAGGTCTCTCGTGTGCCAATAGGTCCGAGTATCCATCGTCCACTTACTCGTAGCTAAAGCCCTTCTACTTTAGGCGAGGTATTTACCTTTGCGCCTACTACGCTCTACAGGTCCAACCTATACGTACCAACATACATGCGGTTTTACTCTCGTGTTATACCTATTTGCTTTAATTGAGCTGGCCACAGCGGGCTTTCCCATTTATTCAATAGGCCATGAAGATCCGCGAAGCCATAGACGGTTTCCCCTGTATTGCCATACATGTACGGTTGAGGTAATTGTAATAGAGTTGAAAAAGGTATAGTTTGGGTCCGTATGGGTAAGTATCACAGTCCCGCAGAAGAGCTGTTGCATAGATGAAGCATCACAGACGTCTTCCTATTAATAATTGACAGATGTCATTTTTATGCATTCGTGGGATAGTTAGATCGTGCCTCTGCAAGAGTATCGCTGTGATTGAGAAGACGTGATAGTAATTCTCAGCTGGAAGTCAGACGCTTGTGTAATGTCTGCCTTGAATATTCAATTCGGTAGGACACTACGAAGGTTGGCACCGTATTTTGTACGTATTTTGACTTATAAATACTGTATTAGCCACTCGCTAAGCTAAAGGTCAGATAGTGGCCTGTCTACTAAATTTAGGTGGCTTACCACTATATTTATAGCGACATCAGCCACTATAACTTAAATAAGACCGTGCAGTTTCTTTTTTACTTGCACGCAGCTTTGCCAAGCTCAGATGTGCGAAACTTTTGGCCTGTAATGCATCCTTTTATCTTCATTGTGGTACATCTTCGTGTATATAACCGATGCCGATCCGATATGTAGCTCACCAGTAAACGGCACCGTTTTTTATCTAGCAGTCTGGGCACTCGGTGGCGTGCCGATCAAGTCGATACCTTTAGGTTGTTACCGCGGGGCTATGTCCGGGGCTATGTCAAGGCATCGGCTCGGCATCAGCATCAACATCAACGGACAGTCATAATAACAAACACTAGCCTACTGATCATTTCCATATGCTCTCTTCTTGATTTCTCAATGTCTTTACCGTTGCATAAATATTCGTCTCGTTCACTATGGCCAACGACGAAAAGAGGTCCTGGTCATCGCGCCTCTCCTTCTTTCGCACCAAGAGAGCCATCTTCACTTTGGCCTTGATGGTTATTATATCTGCCGTGTTGATCGGTAAGTTCTATCATCCGCAGACCCGAATACCTACCTGTCCTGTCTTCTAACTTCTCCCTTCCATCTCAGCTCTCGGTGCCACGCACATACTTCGACCCAAGACAGATATCAGCGATGACGACGATCAGCAACCAAGTGATATTAACAGTACGGCCAACGGCATCCTGACCGCGCCGGGCAATTGGAGGCCGGAGAATTCCAGCAGCATCGCTAACGGCACGCCCTTGCGTATCATGTCGCTCGGCGCCTCTCTAGTTCGAGGTGAATTCTCGACTGGCGATGTCGGCTTTCGCAAGACGATGCGCGACGAACTGGTCGATCTTGGCGTACCTGTCAATATGGTCGGATCCCAACGCTTCGGCGACATGCTTGATAACGATCTCGAGGCGTACGGCGGCAACCGCGTCAGCCAGATTCACGAGCATGCCACGCATATAGTCCCCCAGCTACAGCCCAACTTATTTCTCATACAGGTGGGAACAAATAATGTTCTACAAAATCGAGACGTTGACAAGGCCGGCGCGCATATGGAGGACTTTATCAACTACCTATTGAAGGCGTCGACGCGGGCTACCGTCATATTCAGCACCTGCTTGACCAACACGGTTCCCGATTGCGAGCCCAAGATCCTTGACGTCAACAAGCAGTACCGAGATGTCATCAAGAAGTTTGGTTCGAAGCCCGTTTTGCTGGCCGAGATGCATCCCAGCGAAGGCTTTCCCGACCGACCTCAGGCTGCAGACATCGGACCGGACGGTACGCACCCGACGGACTACGGATATGACCTGATGGGACGCATCTTCACGGAGAGCATCCAGGAGGCAGACAGGAAAGGTTATCTCCGATGGCCGGTCGAAAACGGGCTCGAAAAGGACGGAGACGTAGGACGAGCCGAAGAGACTACGACGACTCCAGAACTCCCACCCCCGACTATAGAAGTCCATCGTTGAAACCGTAGCCAGTCTCGAGCACTTCGTATACGTTATATCGCGTTAGTCGAGCCGAGTCGAGTCGAGTCGAGTACTTCGTATATCACAATTTAACGGTAGTACTCATTTAAGGACGTAGCCCGAAGAGATGCTTCAATCTCCGGATACCCCGCAACTTGGATCGGCTAGGCACTGCCTCCGTAACGAGACTAAATATGATCGAAATCGCGACGTCGCGTTGCTAGAGGGAGACTAGGATTTTGAAACGTAACTCCCAGCCCATACTATGTAGACCTATCATAGTAACTACGTAGAATACCTAACACTTACATGGATCCAGCTTTTTTACGATTGTCTTCCATCACGATATCGGAATCACGCTTTGTCAATCATTAAGTTGATGCAAAGGTATCTACCTAAGTATTATTACATGTATTTTCAATATGAATAACTTTCAGTGAACTAAATTCTCACCGAGGTTGGAGGTTGAGGCCGATAAATCTCGAACGGGCGCTAATACGACCCCCTGTCCCCCCGGTCCATCTCAGACTTGGTCGAAACAACGAGGGTTACGCGAGTTTCCGTGTAGTTTCGATCACTCGCTGTCTCATAAAACTAATATCTTGTGCTGATCTCCACGATCTACAACTTTCTTTTCTCATATCCTCCTCGCTTCGACCGACCCTAATAAAACCAGTAAATAGACGATTCCCCTGTGTAGATCACGATGGAATCTCAAAAGGCCAAGTACGCAAACTTACGGCCCGTCGATGATCGCGATGACTCGAGGTCCAGCACCGAAGTCGAGGATTCTCTGATGGGTGATGAGAAGCGGTGGCACGACGTAGAACTAAACAGGCCGACGACGCGAACGGGGAGACTAGGCAGATTCGTCACGGCCTTTAAATCGGCGAGGTGGATCATCGATACGGGTTTACTGCTAATTATACTGGCGCTGTTAATTCGAGACCAGTGGCGCCGGCCGGCAGCGGAAGAAAAAGAAGTCAACCCGTGGCAGTTCGGCCAAGACCTAACAGGAGTCGGCCCTAGACGTAAGCTTGACTCAGTTACTAGCTAATAGCCTCTTGATCAAATCTAACAGACTCTAGTTTCTCAAAGAATCACGACATTTGAGAGAGATGAATCGTACGCGCCGAATAACACGGCCGAGTTCTTCACGGATGAGGTATTACAGAGATGGAATGATCTGATGCCAAGTAAGTATTCGCGACGATTCATCTTCCGGGAATTCTGCTAACTATCGGATAGAGGGCATGGGGTTCGTATGGGTGAATGATACGCAAAAGTATCATGATCTTCCAACACCCATTGAGTGGCCGGACAAGACCGTCTTTACGACGTCGGCGACTCATCAATTGCACTGTCTCGTAAGTTGCCTGCTAACTCATCCACGGGCCTGTAAAAGCCGTAGTATCAAAATCTAACCATCTATCAACAACAGTTTGCCATCGTCCAGACGTACTCGGGCTTAACCTCGGGTCACGAAGTACCAGGCGACCATCACTGGCATATGATCCACTGCTTCGACTACATGAGACAAGCCATTATGTGCAGTTCTGATATGGCCTTAGAAGGCCTCGAGACGACATTCCCGGACCACAACGGGGGTTCCGACGGTTGGGACTCTAAGCACGGTAAGCCCCAACGCATTTCATCATATTCCATATCGGATACTAATCGTTTAATAGTGTGCCGGGATTGGAACGATGTCAAGTCGTATCTAGAGAGCGTGCGAGCGTATGATGACCAGCTAATCTACTGATTTTGTTTTGTATAAGCGACGATGAGCGATTGGAGTTAGGCGTAGGATCCCAGGTTACCTGTGAAATCATTACCTGTATTATGAGTGTCGGGAGAAATAGTAAAAGTTATTAGATATGGCAAATCGCTTGCTACACTTGAGCTATTCAGTGATATTTAAAGATATACGAAAAGAGACAATAATCAATTATCTGCCTACGCAAGTTACCTACACGAATTACCTATGTGAATTACCTATGTGAACGTTGCCCTCTAAACCACATAATTAAACCTATTTCGGATACACATCCATGTATACCGTAAACTCTCCCTTCGCCCGCTTCTCTTCAGCGACGAGCATCCTAGCTTATTTCTTCCTCTGCTCTTCAGCTGCCTCCTCAGGATAACAGACGGGGCAGGTCTCGTTGATGACCGGGGAGATCGGGTGACCACTCTTTGTCATGATGCTGTTAGTAATGCGTGTAGGATGGTAGCCTTGACCCTGCAAGCCGAATTTTGCGGCCAAACACTTCTTCACCACGGATCGAGTATGGCGACTATGCACCGGGTTCTTGCATCTTCTATAGTCTTCTACAGTACACTCGCACATCTCGACCGACTTCAAGTATGGATGGACAGGGAGGATATTTGAGTACAACCTACTAGGGTTGAAAGATTGGGTAGGAATTTAGTAGCAAACTGGAAACTTTCTGATGGCTAGAAATCTGGCTGCGAATGCAATCTCCCGGCACGTACGCCGTTATAAAACATTGGGTTTCTTCAACGATAACCTTTGATATTTAACAAAGACATTGTAAACTGTCGCCTTTCACCTTTGCAGACCAGTTTAACTAATTTAGTATTAAACTCCATTCAACCAAGATACCAAGCGGCTTTCTATGTCTCTTAGAGTAGCCCTGTTCTTTTACCTGGCTCTTGTCGCGAACTTTCAATGTTTGTTCGCATGTTTTTCTCGCCACTTGGCCGACTGCAAGCTGTGCTGAGATTCAATCTCGACTACACAACTCACAGTACAGTAGGCATGTATGATAATCGAAGCATTGTCATCTAAACCGAGCAGTAAAGTACCAGGAGAACAAAGCCCTCCTTGAACTCTACAATAACGAGCGAGACTAATTGTTCCGTTTCTAAGCATGCTACAAAGCATTCTTATATACCCTAACAATGTTCGTTACACCATGGAGGTTTTCCCCGGGAAGACAATATGTACAAGCAAAGCTTTGTCTTGATTTAGAACTGCACCCAGCTCATTTTGTATTAGTCAACTTTGAATTAATTATGAAGCTTTAATATCCAGCGGCTATAGATCAGAAGCAATTCGAGGAACCATCAACGGAATATAGTACCTACTAGTTAAAAACAACCCCAGACGTATGCAAGCGGTTCAACTTTGCAATATTCTTATTAAATGGGATTGTCGGATAAAAACGGCTGACCTTAATATATTTGATACGAACGAGGCTTGTGTAAATTGCTAAGCTGATACGATATCAACCGCAAGGCTGCATTGGATAAGACTACCTTACATATCTTAAAAATGTAGGACTATGAATGAATCTGAAGCAGTACTAAGAATAGCTCGAGGTTCTGGGCATGTGGTTTGCTATTTACTATTTGCTAATACATGTAGCTAACAGATGTCAAATTTAAGGTTGAATTTGATAAAGTTTCGAGGGCTTGCATTGCCGAATCTATTCTGTAGCTAGTTCTTGCTGATTCTTACCTCCTTTTATGCTTTGGCTTTGCTAAGTGAAGGATACATGTGACATGTGAACGGCTAGACCGTGCATGATAGTGACTTAGCCCCTGAACGCTATTGAAATCTTACACGATACCTGAGGTACTTGTGTGCATGTGGCCAAGAATTTGAAGTAGTAAAGTACCCATGGCAGCCACAATTCTCTTACTTGCTGCACCCTACAGCTACATAGGTACAGTACTCAAGATGTGATAAAGACTCAGGTAGGTTAGGTATGTACATACCTAGGTGGGTAAGCGGGTAGGTACTGTAAGCCGCTAAATGGCCGCTAGTAAGGGACGGCAGGTACAATACCGCTAACGCGTTCCTCGGGCCATGCGCCACAGTAGAGACGCGGAATTTTGGCCGATCTAGACGTCAAAGAATTTCTGGCCTGAACCCTGAATATCTGAACTAAACTAATAACCTCAACTTACAGAATAATAGAATTACTTGCTGCTCTCCTTTGCCTGCGAAAATTATCTCTTTATCTACCTAGGTACTTAGGCATTCAGAGTTCCAAGTCCAAGTCTTCAATCCGATCTTGCGTTACAAATCCCGTGCCGCTTTGTCCTTTTGCCGCCTTGCCGCTCTGCCCTATCAGACCAGACCAGACCAGACCTGACTCGGCCGTGCATTATCCTGCCTCCCTTTCCTCCTCTGTTCCCTCCGGTGCGACTGTGCGAGGGAAAGACGACAGGAAAGCAGGGGGAGAGGTTCGAGCGAAGATGCAATGTCGTATCCACCGGCCAAGCGACAGCGATCCAACACGTCGCGAGATTCCGTCAACGGCAACCCGCAGACTACGGCTCCCGCCCTGCGACATCACCAAATCAGTCAGGGTATCAACTTGTACTCGCCTACGGGCTACGAGAATGGCGGCTATTCCCTCCAACCCGCCGCGCGCCAGACTGTCGCCTACAACCCCTACTCTCCTGGTGCGGTGACAAATTCGGCTGGCGGATACGGCGGAGCGTACCAGACCTCGTCGACAGGCTACGGTGCCGGTCCGTACAGCCCCCAACAGCAGGCTAACACCTTCGCGGCTCACTACTCTCAACCGCCTACGAACGGCCACATGACGTCTCATGCTACACACTTTAACGGGATTCGGAATGGGAACTTCGCCGAGACACAGGCACAAGCACAAGCACAGACGCAGACGCTCTTACAGGGACAGTCACCGCAGACGGCCGCGGGTGGAACGTATTCGCCCGTACCGACAACTCACCACATCGCGAATTATAACCAGCAGCAACGTACTAACCCCCCGACGTCCACAATACCACAGCATCTATCGCAGTACGGGGAGCCGTACACTTCCCAACCCGCAGCGCACGCCACGTCATATCATGCCAGTACCAATTCCTATTCGGACGCTTCTACCTTGAATTCCCACTTCAGCCCGGCACATCTGCAGAGTCCGGCCCATCTAGCAAGCCCGGCTCCTCTATCGACCTCCGCAGCCCAGAACGGAAATGGTCACACTCCCGACGATGTCATGCAAGAGGATGACGACGAGGAAGAGGATGCGCAAGGCGAGACGGCGGACGAGTCGACAGATGTAAGGAGCAGCAAGAAAAATTACCAAGGGGTCTATATAGGGATCGTAGAATGCTAACGCACGCCTTGTAGGTTTACACGAATCCCGATCCGCCGAACGGGTCCATATCGTCCATACAGTCGGTTCCCACGCCACCGATCGATGCGTCGTCCAGAGGCGGTCAGCGAATTAAAAAGTGCTCCTGTAAGACGGGACGCGGAGACAAGAAGGCCTGCGTGTTTTGCGTCTGTAGTAAGCATGGACTCGGTTGCACTCCGACTTGCTCGTGCGGCGACGCCTGTGCGAACCCCTTTGCGGACCTGACGCAATTCTTCGGCCCGCCGTCTGCGTTCCCGAAACCCTGCGGTGCCAATGCGTGCTTTGCCACTTGGCTCTGTAACCAACCGAACGTCGAGGAGCTGGATGTAGATCTGATAATAGACATACTGTTGTACGACGATACGTCGTGGGCGACCATCAAGGAGTACGCGGAGCCGTTCAAGAAGTGGGAGGACAGTTGGAAGCGGACCCGTGGGGGTAAGAGGAAGAAGAGTCGCGAGGAGCGCGAGCGCCTGGAGTTCGAGTTGCTCCGCGGCGCGCTAGGTAACTGCAACCAGAACGACTTCTACGGCTACTGGTATAGTTTTTGTCGAGGCGGCTGGGTGGCGACCGATCTCTGGGACCATTGCCAGGAGTGTCGCGTCTGCAAGCCCAGCGCGGAATGGCACTGCGACAAACATAGTCGCTGCACGTCAGAACGCGTCTGTCCCGATTGCGCATCGACTGCACCGTACCCGAATATGATGTCTTCGTATCCGGATCCCGGTAGTTAGTCCGGTCTCGCTCTATATGAGAGAGGGTGCCTTGTTTCCTTGGTTTTTATCAACGTTTTGGGGGGATGGAAATCGGACATAGACAGCGTGCGTTAGGGATACATAACGGTATTTGCTATGGCTTACTCGCGTACATCTTGCATTTTTAGCGAGAATGCGTGCGTCGGCACGGAAACATACGAGGACTTCGGACAAAAGACAGATCGATCAGTTAGGGGTGCGTACCTATGTATAAGAACTAGAGCCAACATTATCAATATCAAGAGCATGGCTTGGGACTAAAACCCAGCTAATATTGTCACCATCTAGCTCGCCGCTATGCGTCTAGAGTTCCGTTATGCCTGGTAACGATAATTCCCGGCTGTCGATGTCTTTATCCTATAGACCTGATGAGCGATAGAATTTGACTCGAATGCCTTAGGTACTTGAACTTTTACGTCGACAAGACAAAAAAATTGACTATACAACATACGTGTTTTAAGTAACCACCGGTTTATACCTACCATAAGGCCTCGTTTAGAGTATAACGCGTATTCCAAGCACGGCGGCAATGATTAGCTATGTCGACTACAACGCCAAGCGGATCTTTTACGTCGACAGACTACTCGAGCCTAGGTAGCTACTACTACAAATACCTACTTCGTTGTCCAGTTCACGAATTGATTCGCTAGGAGCAGGAAAGAAGATACGACGGTAGTAGGTCGATGATAGGATATACACTAGGGTTGTTAAGGCATAATATTGTCGACAATATGCTCCTAGGATAACCTACCTTAGGTGCCCAAGGCATATTATCCACTCCGGCCACGGAATTATGATACTAAATGATAAACTATGGAGGAATTGCTAGGTATTCCTTATGACGGCAGGAGCTTGTTTTAGTCCGAAGACTCCTGGATAGAAGTCCCAAGGACCTCTTAATCTTTATGATCAACTTCTCGATCTTGACCCTGTCTTGTGGCCCTCTGGGGATTTCTAGTTTCAGGAAAATGCGACCTACTTACGGGATTTAGTGGTATCAAACTTCATCCGTATTTGTTAGTTACTAGGTCAATCATAATTCTCCGAGTTCGTGGATGCCATAGCTATTACCCCGATACTATACCGAACCTCAGCGGCTTACGATGGTGCTAATAAATTTCGGAGTGATAGTATGTAAGTGTAATTAATGACACATGAAAATCAAGAACAAGGCCAAAAAGTTAATACGACGCAGTTAACGTGCTCCGATCCATCCACCTCGAAAGGGGAATGAACCGGAAGTTGACAGAGCCTGGTATGTGGTAGCATGCAGATCTATGACCCATGTCACGATGCGCTCCTCTCTCGCAAGGGTATATCCTGGGCAGTGGGTGACTGGGCTTAGGCCTGGTAGGTGGAGTTTAGGGTTGGCTTGACGTGCGTCCTGTCTTATTACGCACATGCATGCACCAAGATCTCGCCAGCTCCTGTATCTGTGTAGTTGTAGTTTGGAAGAGAGAGACCGGGTATACAGGACCCAGACGTGGCTCGGCACGACTAGGGTGATCAGGTGGAGGTAAGAGATGCGACATTAGTCGAATCCTGTCTATAAGATGATTTACTCGGCTTACCTAGAATTTTGATAATGCTACCCGACGGACAATGCTTTATGTCTTCTATGAGAAAATCTTTTCGGCTGAACCGCCGCCACGGGTCGCGTGGTAGGCTGACTTGTTAGCCACGTTTCGATTATGGGTGTTGGTCCGCCTGCTTTTCCAATGGCCAATAAGGGGGACTTCTACATTAAAGGTTGGTCTTCGTATTAATCGAAAAGGGTATGGTTTAGGGATTCGTAATGCACTATATATGAAAAGAGGGATTTTGCACAAACAACAGCAAGGCGAGGAAAGGTTTCTACGGATTCGATACGTATCTCTAGAGCTCCCTCGGGTAGCTATAATAGGAGATATGTACCGAAGAATATATGAATAGAACAGGCCAACGTACGTTTGGGATAGTTTGTGGACATGATGAAAATGCCTATAGATAGGGACCTCGGTGTCAAGCTGTCAGAATGTATATAGGTTGGTATATTAACTGCACCTACCCATTAAAACGTCTTGTAAGAGAAAATACACTAGACACTAACCTAAGGGGGGTATACTTAAATAAATCAATGTTGGATATTTCACGTCTCGGGGTGGATAAGCCGGTATATACCTCTCACATGTAACTTGGGTATATTGAAATTGCTAGTGAAGTCGGCAAGCAGCGGTGATCTTATATGCCAGGTAGGTAGTTAGGAACCAACACCGTACGTAATTCCTTAGATTTAATACCTTAAATGGCCTTTTAAGATGTATGGTTGAGCAACGAGGGCCCTAGTATCGACCAACAATTGAGTCTAGAGCGTGGAAGAGAGTATATGGGAGATGTAAGTCTTGACCGCACATGTTTGCATTATCTGATCCTTGTAGTATGAACTATTCCTCCAATCTCATATCTTCCTCGTTTAGCATCTCGTCTATCTATTATCCAAACTGGCTGATAAAATCAAGACTGGGTGGTTTGTTGAGCCGGCCCAACTCGGAGTCCTCATAGATATGAATGATACGCAGGCCAAGTACAACCTATCCGGATCTCCGCTTTTGTATCTTCCATGCGAGCTGGTTGTACATACTGCGTCGTATCTTTCCCTAGACGACTTGTTCAGCCTGCGTTTGACATGTCGTCGTGTCGAGACGTTCCTATTCGAAACCTTCTCGGTCGAATTCTTTTCTGATAGACGTTTTATGGTTAATGAATGGTGAGTACCTAGGAATACCTTGTGGTCCTATACGAACCTGTCAAGCCTATCTAATATCGTCATTAACCATGATGTAGTACGTGTTAATTTGGCACGTAGTCTCTAGAGGAGATAATAAGAGACTATGATCCTCTTTGCCCTTTGCGGTCCCCTATATGACCCTTTCTATATTATCATACACCTTGCTGACAGCTGTTGGCATACGCAGATAGCCTGAGATGTCTATTGAATATATCGAAGCACTCTCATCTGTCAAGGTGCTTGTCAAGGCTGACTATTGGGCTTGATCGACTATACAGCAGCGATGCCTTGCCAAGCTTTGGGCATCGAAATGGCAATGCTGATAATCCCCGCGTAAAGAAAGGAATCGAGCCTTATAAACTAGAGGAGCTTGCCGCAGAGCAGAACTGGCTAGTCAGTAGCGGGCGGTTGCAGCTGTTGCTTGGCGAGGCTCTAGGCAATCTGGCAAATGTGGTAGAACTTAGCTTGCGGGATGCCAATGCCGTGAGAGGACATTTACGCCCCGGATTACGACAGCGGCTTGTCAGCTACGGGACCGCCGAAATCCGCCGACAGACAGGGGTAGATTTCCTCAGCGACGAGCCGCATCTTCACTCGCAAGATCAGTTTGCCGACATGGTATTCTCGGCTGCTCTGTTGGCTGTCGCGAGGAGCGGAAAGCGGCTGGACGCCATCAGCGTGGACATACAGAAACAGGATATGGGATTATCTAGCTCGGCTTTTGTGTTCCCGAGGTCTCTTCTCGAATCCCTTAGGCCTACTTTACAAAGCCTGCGGTCTCTCAACCTCTCCGTGAGCTTCACTTACATATCGCTGGGCAGCTTCGCGCACGGGTCTCTAGGTTTCCTGCGGTGGCAACCCCATTATCTATTCTCGCTGCTTGAGGAGACACCTAACTTGGTTAGTCTTCGGGTGATATCCAAGGGACAAAGCTTCCTGCTAGATGGGGTAATAGAATGGCTTGCTCGACTGGTAGACTTGTCAACCGGAAAGCAAGTTGAGAAGGCTAAAGGGTCACACATGTACGGTGATCTGTCTGCAAGCTTCGATCGCATAACGCTTTCTCAAACATTCCACGATTTACGGGACCTGGAGTTGGGAAATATGACGGCGCCAAGTGATTCCCTCTCCAAGATTGTCCAGCACCTCGCTGGTTCTCTACGGAAGCTATGCTTGTGCACGATAGGGGTAACAGTTTCCCGGGGCGACGATGAGCTCGATAATGACCCCGGGAGTGCTAACGCCTGGACATCAATATTCCGAGAGATGTCTACGTATTCCAGCTTGGAGAACCTGCAGGTTGGCCTTTTAGGCCACCACACCGTGAACTGTACGGGGAATGCCAACGGGCACCAAGCCGTCTTCTTGAGATCGGAAGTTGGTACGCAGTCGGGCCCGCCTGGTGGATTATTCGACGCTTGGTCATACTCGGGTAGCGTCACATCTATGAAAGACTTCTTGCTAGAGCTCTCCTCGAAGACAATTATCATCTGTACCAGGTGTAGACAGAGGAACCCGGGATATCATTCCTCTGACGAAGTCCTCGAGGGGTAATTGGGAATAAGATGACTCGAACAGTCCTTAGGATGACATAGATGTTAACTCTAATTTATCCAAGATCCAAGCTCGATTAAATCTCGAATAAGATCAACTCCTATTAGCTTATCAGTAGCACTAGTTCGTATTGGCGCAGGTGCATAATGTCTCAACTGACTCGGTCATAACATTCATCATGCTTCTACACGTAGGAGGTGACGATAAGGTTCTTCTAGCTATAAAATGATACCGCTTATTGCGATATTAACTACTCAAGATGCTCCAAGGGGAAAGGGGGATTTAGTCGACAGATGCTCTTATCAGTTGACAAAGAGAGCATGCGTGGAATGTCGTGCGACACCCTCCGGCAATTGTGCTTATCTTTCTCAACAGGATATATCGACGGCCTGGTTACAACGCCTCGCTGCAGATCGGCAGGGGTTCAGATAACTGATTTTCCCATTTTTGGTTCTGGGGCGTGAATGGCTGCCCAATACAACGGAATCCCACGCTTCTCCTCGGTGTGCTCGGTACCAGGAGTGCGTCAACGTGCGTGCGGGGGGATAAGCCCGAGACTTCATTTGTTGTGCTATTATATTTCTCTGTTATAAGTATTTGAAGGTGAGCCCCCCAAACTTGCACTCGTCTGTCCGCTATTCTATTCGCTTTCTCGGGAACTTGAAAGCCACCTAGGTAGACAGGTCATTCTAACTAGTATCGGCTTTACTGGTATCGACATTGCGGTAAACCCGACGAGCCCAAGATGGCTCCATCGGTGGCTTCAAACCCCGGAGATCTCGACGAGTCGCTGGTCCCCGGGACGGTCCACCTAGTCGACCTCGAGCACACGATGGCGACGCGACATGCTAAGGACCAGAGGGATATCGTGCTCGTGCCGACCCCGTCCGCAGACCCCAACGACCCGTTGAACTGGGCTCCTCGACGCAAGTACCTAGCCTTGGCTTGCGCTCTCCTGTATACCTGGTTTAATGGCATGGCACTGTCGGTCGTCTACTCGGTGCTCGTGCCTCTTTCCACGGCCCTATCCGTAAGCGAGGGGGATCTCAATGCTGGGACGGGCTATATGTTCTTACTCTTAGGTTGGGGCCTGCTCTTTTGGCAGCCGTTTGCGCTGCAGTTTGGAAAGCGGCTGACGTACTTGGTCTCTCTCCTCGCGCTCACGGCCGTCACGGTCTGGGGGCCCTACGCGCGCGGCAACAACCAGTGGATCGCGAATCGCGTTCTGACGGGCTTCTTTGCAGCCCCTATCGAGGCTTTGCCTGAAACCAGCATTGCGGACCTCTTTTTCGCCCACGAGAGGGGAACGTATTTGGGTTGGTACGCATTCATGTTGGCTGGCAGTAACTTTTTCGCCCCCGTCATCTGTGGCTTCATCAACGACGGGGTTGGCTATCGGTGGGTTTTTTACTTCCAGGCCATCTTTTGCGGTGCCACTTGGCTATTTCTATTCTTCTTCATGGAGGAAACGAATTACGACCGACGTACCGTCGGCATCGTCGCCGAGTCTAGCCATGGAGTACTCAAGCCGAATCCGGATGACGAGAAGGGCAAGGAGGCCTCGATGGATCCGTCCGACGCCATTAGGCAGGTTATTTCTCTAGAGGGCCAGCCGTCAGCTGAGACGAAGACGTTTTGGCAAAGATTGTCCGTCGTGGATCAGCCGCGGCCGTTCATGATGCACTACCGCGCGTGGCAGTCTCTCAAACTCTTGTCGTGGCCCGTGGTATTCTATTCGGGATTTAGCTACGGCACGTACCTCATCTACTTTAATATTCTCAACGCTACGAGCTCTATCATCCTAGGCGGACCACCTTATAATTTTCGCCCGTCCCTCGTCGGTCTGAGCTATCTCTCCTGCATGGTAGGAGTTTCCGCCGCGGCGGCTTTCACAGGTGTATTTTCGGATCGCTTCGTTATTCGATTAGCGCGTAGAAACAATGGTGTCTCAGAGCCCGAGCACCGACTCTGGCTCTTCTCCGTTTCGACGCTGATGATCCCGTCTTCGCTTATCCTCTGGGGTGTCGGGGCCGCCCACCAGGTGCACTGGTTCGGTCTTATTGTCGCCATGTGTACTACAGCGTTCGCCAACACGATGGGCATTACTCTCAGCGTTTCGTACTTGATCGATACGTATCGAGATATTTCCGGCGATGCGCTAACTACGTGCATTCTTATTCGTAACACGATGAGTTTCGCTATCGGGTATGGAATCACGCCCTGGCTCGACCGCTTAGGATACCAGAATTGTTTCGTCAGCGTGGCTTTCATCGGATTAGCTATCTGCAGCGTCTTCCTAGTGATGGTCAAGTGGGGTAAGAAGTTTAGGGAAGCGAAACGCCTCGACTATTGGCGCGAGGTTGAGAAGAGGATCGATCTTGGGCTAGTTCACTAACAGATTCCCATCAAGAGCTGCATGTGCTGAATATCAAACTATATTTATCTTAGGTACCTAAACTAACCACCTAAACTAACCACTATCTGATACTAGTATGGTATCGAAGCGCTATTTCTTCTTACCGAGTTCGCTACTGTTGGGACGACCACGGTCATGTGACCAGGGCTGGGGCCTGGACCCCCCACACACACAATTAGATAAACACCCCACACGTTTCATAGATCCCCTTGTAACTTACCATCTCTATCAACCAATCAAGCAATACAGTTTCAGTTACATACCTTGTACCCTTTCTTCATTACGTAAAGGTACATACAGAACCTTGTCACTCCAACACTGCTACTGCAAATCTTTTTAATAGGGTAGTTCCTTAGTTTAGGTGCTGTTGGAGCATAGACGATATTTGTATTGCGGAACAGACTAGACTTTATAAGAGGCATTGGCCTTTATAAGACATTCCTCCTATCACTCGCTCTAGGTTATCTCTTTGTTTTCTCAACATCACATTAGGTTAGGAGGTACCCAAGGTACTCAACCTTCTAACCGCCATCCTATGTAGGAAACAAACCTACGACTAATTCCTCTCATAATATTCCATAGCTATTCAAAGTGCTGCATTATGTACAAGTAGGAGCATGAACTGTGCAGTCCGGAGACGCTTCGTCATACATGCTACATTGGTATCGTCGATCTATCGCAATCTTGACTGACAGGCTATCCTGTCCCACCACGCAGAATGATGATCAAAGCATTATAAAAGAGTGAAGCAGAAGCGCTAACATGATCCGTCCCGTTCGCTTACGTATGTACTCGTTGCAAATAAAGTCCCTCGCTCGTAGCCCACATAAGCCTCAATATCTACTACATTACAAAACGACTTCCACGTTCTCAGTTTCGGTCACAGTTTCGGTCACAGCTTCGGTCACAGCTTCGGTCACAGCTTCGACCACAGCTTCTGCCACCGTTGGCTCCTCTAACTCCGATGACATGACTGGGGTTGGGTCTTCAAGGGGAACATCATCCGTAGCAACGGATGGTGTGGCCTCGGTTAAAACATCAGTAGCAGACATCTTGACAGTTTCAGTCGCCGTCTCTAGCTCCGTCTCTGTGACTGTGTGGAAGACTCGAACTACTTTCTTCTCCGTCACAGTTTCGGCCTGCTCTGACTGAAGTGCCATGTATATAAACTGGTCGTAGGCGCCTGCAAATGTGCTGCACGGCTCATAGACAGTAGATATGCTTGTCGCCATTGCTGTGCTGTCCTGGGCTGCCGTGGGCTCGATTGCAACTTCTAAAGCTTCCTCATAAGTCGTCGGGACTGGTTCAGCTTCGCTCTGAGTTGTCTCTTGCTGAGGCTCTTCGGCCACGGACTCCTCTTGGTAATCCGCAGGGGCCGCTGCAGGCTCGCTGGCGGATATGTCCTGCTGCGATACGACTTCCAGGTCGCCTTGATAGTCCGTCTCAGCCACTGTAGGCTCGGTCTGTATCGTATAATGAGTAGACGTCACGCTTGTAGGCTCTTCAGAGATGATAGGTTTCCCTTCGGATTCGTATTGCTCCTCTTCTATTGGTGCTGCTTCTATAGGGGACTCAGAAACCGGTGCATCTTGGTGCTGAACTGCTCCCAGCGGCTCTTGGTCGGGTACGGCCGCTACAAGATCGGCCAACGGCGCATGCTGTCGAGGCGTCGTGGAAGGTTCGCCGCAAATTGACGGCACAGCTAACGATTCTGTCGTCGGGAAATTTACCTGGACGGTAGGAACCTGAGGTATATCGACAACCTGGGCGCGGCGCATGATTGGGACGTCTCTCATCCGGTGGATCACTGGCTCGTAGACGGGCTCGGCCGGAGTGGGAGCGTTCCGGAAGGCAAGCATAAGCACAAAAATGCTGAGAGTGAAGATGGCAACATTCCTGCGGTCTTGCAATAAAACCCTCATAGACTGAAGTAGAAGCTCGGGGAGCGACGCGTTCTGGTAGGCAGCCTGATGAGGTTTCTTTTGTTTATAGGCCTCGTCGGAGGGAGGCGACGGTGGCACATGCGACCCCTTGTCCTGGTCCGGATGGACCGACGGCTCCCGAGATTGTGGTGGCGGCGGCGAATGCCCGTAGATCTCGCGAAGCCGTTCTTCATCTCGCCGGAGCCGCTCCTCCGCAGAAATAGGTGTGCCAACGCGCGACGGCTCTGGCTGAGGTGAGGAGGCCCCGAATTGGGAGCCCATATCGGCCCGTTCCCTCTGATGCTGCGTAGTCTCCTTTTCAATCTCTGCCTCTTGGTGAGTCGCGGCGAGACGGACTAACTCCTCTTGCAAAGCGGGCTCTACGATGGGTTCCAGTTCGACGTCTACACGTTCCATCTCTTTCCAGCAAGCTTCCCAGGCGCCAGCCCTCATCAACCCGTTGCTGGCGTAGACCTTAACCCGAAAGATCTTGCCCGAGCCGAGAGAGTTGCCGCGGATCTCGCTTTTGCAAGTGTCACACCAGTGCCGCTTATCCCCAGCGCGAGATCGTTGGGAACTCCACTCGTCTTCGCTCTCTTCGTCTTCGGTCAGGGTTGACTCGTTGGTAGGGCCGAGGTAATGACCGCATTCCAAGATCCGAGCTCGTCGGCGGAACGGCAACTCTAGCGCTTCGAGCAGGCGCTCCTCGAGAACCTCATAGTCATTCTGAGGATGGCCTAGTAGTATACCTCTCTCGATGACGGTGTCGCCGATTCGGTCTTGCAGGAGCCTCCAAGATTCTTGGAGGGTCTTCACCTGCTCGCTCACATTGTCCGTATCGAGATTGTTAAGTAGATTGCCCCATGCCCACCTTAGCGGTAACAATGTGACGTGGAGTAGGACGAGAGGTGCCTCCTTGCGTCCCTTAAAACGCGACGGCGTGGACATCCTCTTGGGGGAATATTGCGCGGAGGCTGTGGGCGTCCCCAAGCGAGAAACTGTAGGGAATTGCCTCTTTGTGGACCGGGGAGAACCGAGGACCGAAGATGGTGGCGAGGACATCTGCATGGCTCGCACGTCCGAAGGGGTCCGAAAAGGCGGGCGCGGTGTTCCTCTAACGGTAGGAACGAAATCTCCCTTCTCATATTCCCGCTCGTTTTGTGAAATATCCGAAACTCGAGGTGACCGAGTCGCGGTTGTCATATTGTCAAAGTCTTTGTGTGCCCTGTCGGACTCAGAAACGGCATCGTACGACCCCAGAGAGCTTCGCGGGCTCTTGTCGCTAAACACATCTTCGTCCGTGGCTTCGTGATGAGAACTAGTATCACCGCCATCATCGGCGTGGATGTGAGAATCTGCAAACTCGGGGTCTCCAAGATATGAATCATCTTTTTGGGCTGGATCATGAGCATCATCGTCATCTGTCTCGTCGCTCAACACTGAGCCGTCTTCCACATCCTCATGCTTGTCCTCGCTTTCAAATTCACCCCGTTCAGATCCTTCGGCCTCGTCAAGATATTCGTCATCCATCTCGCTGTGGTCGGTCTCTACGCTGGGCCGGACCTCCGATTCTCTGTTATTACTGGTCATCTCCGTCCCATTCCCTGCCTCGTCAATAGTAACAGACTCCTCGTGCCGGTTAGAAGTGTTTTGTTTGCCGTTTGCTTTTAGTTCTTGAGGATGCTCCTCATCTATCGGTGTGCTCAGGCAAGACGGGTCGACGTAGATCTCGAAGTTGTGATTTGTTTTTTGTCGAGGCATCCGAAGTGTGAGAAAGAATAAGGAATAGCACGTAGGGTTTTTAATTAAAGGATGTGCCCTCCGGAGCCGTTGGGTCCTCTGAGTTTGTTTTGATGCGTACGTTGCGTTGGCAGTATATTAGACCTGCAGGTCTAAATGTCAAGATGAATGAAATGGTTGGGCGAGATCGAAAAGAATGCGGGTCGCTAAGTGTCGGTTCTCACGTTGTTTACACGCGTTGCCTGGTCAACGCCAACCATTCAACCCTGGTAATCCATTTCCTTGTCCAATGACAGACCGGATCACAATCTAGCACGGATGATTTTCAGCAAAGGGAATATTATCAATCGTTACAATATGATCATAGAAAGGGATCCGAGACTCTTATAGATGGGTAGGTATGTATCAGAAAATATTTACCTCCTTAAGTGTAAATCCAACCTGTCACTTTACGACTGCTGGCATTGACGTCATTAGTTGTATACAAGTGCCTAATCTACCTAGGTAGCCTCTAAACTTATAAGATACAACACGCCGTCATCTACAGGCAACGTTTTTTGTAATAAAGCTATGGTCACTTAAGTACCAAGATATAGCTTTTGGATCTTGCGACAACTTACTCAATTTGACATGAATCAGATAGATCTTTCCCCTTGCCATTATGGCAATAAAAGGTCATCATCACTGGATTGTCTTTAGGATGGTTTAGTTCTGTATTGAGCTAACTATATCTTCCGCGCAAGATCAGGGTTAACCCTTTGGTATGATCCTAATATTGTATCCGAGTGACTCGAGGCTAATCGATTGAAGAGAAGATCGAAAGTATTTTTCAATAGTTCATGATAACAAGATCATAGTAGCCAACTACAGGGACCAAACTGTTAAGTAAGTGTTTTCTAGTTATAAGAAGAAAAGAGTGAATAGAGTAAACCGTGCTTGTAGTGCGTTGCCTTAGGTAACTTGATGGAAGGCAACCAAAGAGCTTATACAGGTGAACTACTGGGACAATAAATAGGCCAACATACATATAAGTAAGAGGCTCTCTAGCATCCATTTGACTACCTCCTAGGTAGGTAGCTACCAAATATGTTCCAAGTACGATTTGTGACGCCTCGAATATTGACTACTCTTCCTCAGATTCTCTACTCCATTTGTCGGCTACGTCCTTTATCTCGATCAGTAGCTGCTCCTTTCTCTCCTCGGTACACCAGCTGCCTAATACGGCGCCCTTCGCAATCGCTTCCCAGTCCCTGATGCTCAAGTCGAATGCGTCCTGCAGGGCGCAGTAATTCTCGAGTATGTATCCCCCAAAATAAGCCGGATCGTCCCTGTTAATACTAAACCTAATACCAGCACTTATCAGTCTTCTAAGGGGGAACGAATCTATCGAATCAATGCAGTTTAACCTAACATTCGATGATGATGATGATGATAACGTTTACGTCTATTGGTCTGCTATATCTACTTGCGTAATTACAGCGGCGCATCTCTGGCGCTTTAAACGTCTAAAATACTCCTTTAAAGAAAACAAAGCTAAAATATCGCCTAACATGAGAAAAAGACAAAAGAAAGTATAATCTATCTAAAGGTTAAAATTTGAGGTTTTAAGGCCTTTTTTTTAATACCTTATATAGTTTTATAAAATATTATGGCTGTTTATAACCGATAATTAATAAAATTTAATTTTATTTATTTCTAATAATAAAACTTATTTCGGGCTTTATTTTATAATAGGTTTAATTATTATTATTTTTAACGTAAAAGTTAATTTTTTAAAAAAACTACTTAAAATCTTAATATTTTATAAGTTTAAATATATATTTTAAAATTTTTTTTAATAATTTTAATTTAAACAATTTCCTTTATATTATTTTACATTTTATAAAATGTTTTTTATTTATATTTTTACCGTATTAATATAATTTATTACGTTTAAAATATTTAAACTTTACGTAATAAACTATAAAATCTTTATAGCCATTTCGTTTAACAATAAATTTATAAAGTATAAAACATATTAATTTTAATTTTTTAAATAACATACGCGTTACGTATAACTTAAATTTTTTATATTTTTTTAAACTTTTTTTAATTTACCAGTTTTTATATAAATATCGGCGTTTTCTTTTATTTATTTTTTTTAAATATATAAAAATGGAAAGTTTATTCGATATATAGTTTTTTAATTCCGGTTTAATTTTGCGTTTTATTTTTTTATCCGTTATTTTATTTTTTAATATTTTTATATATTTAAAAAACCATTATATTAACTAATTTTCCAATTTTTTAATTATTTTTTAAAAATTTAATTTAATCTTTTATATATTATTTAAAAAATATTTAAAAAGTTTTAAAATAACTATTATATTATTAAAATAAAAATAAAAAATATTTAATAATTTTATAAAAACTTATTTAAACATTTTTTATATAATTTTAATTTTTATATTAAATATTTTTACTTATTTAAAAATATTGTATTATTGAATAAGTATAATGTTATTAAGTTTAATTATAAGGTATTTTATTATGTAATTTTAGTTTTACAAATCATATAAAAGTCTTAAAATCATTTTATCTTTTTAATTAAAAATATATATATACTTTTATTTTAAATTATTTTTTAATTAATAATTATATAATTATTTTTAATTTTTAGTTTATATTAATTTTATTTTATTACTTTTTATCTTTTGTTTATTAATTAATTAAATTTATATTTATAAATTAAAGTATAATGTTATTATTAATAGTTTAAAGCTTTTTACAAAAATTAAGTTATTAAAATAATAAGTTATATTTTATAAGAATTTTTATTTTTTATTTAATAGTAATTACCATAGAATTTAAACCTGTAATTTTAATTTTAAAAAGATTGTTAAAAGTTGATTAATAAAAATGGTTTTATGGCCATGGATTTGATTTCAAGTATTTGTAATTATAATTTAAAAAAAAATAAAAAGATTATAAAAAATCTTAAAACTGTTAAATATTAATAATAAGTTAAATATTAAAACCTTATTTAAATTCTTTTATTAATTAATATTATTTAATTAAAAAACTTTTTATTAATATATTAATAATATAACCGAATATATTAAAATATTATTAAAGTATTTATGTAATAAAGTAATATTAATAAAATTATAAAATAAATGAAGTAATTAATATTATGTAATACAAATTATTAAGATTATTAAGATATTATAAAAATTAATAATATAAAAGACGAATTATAATTAAAAATATAATATAAAAAACGATATATAAAATATAATGGAACGGTTATTAAAAATAATAAATATAATATAATTAAATATTAATATAAAAAAAGGTTAAATTTAAGCTTAACTTTATAATTATATTATTATAATAAATAGTTTGGTAATAATTAATGATAAAATTTATAATTAAAAAACTTATTTGTTTATTATTATTATTATGTTAAAAGAATTATTAATTAAATTATTAATATAAAAAAAATAAAAAATTATTAAAATTATTGTAATGATTTTGCTATTATTTATTTTGTTATATTTTAAAGCGATTTAGTTAAAGGTTAAGTTAATAGTTATTTATTTTTAAAATAAATTTTATAAAATAAAAATATTAAAAGATGGTTAAATATTTGATTAAATTTTAATGGATAAAAATAAATATTATTTTTTTTTATATTAAAAATAAAGGATAAAAGTATTATCGATATTATTTAGTAAATTAAATATTATTTATATTTTTAGTTTATCAAAATATTAATTAAATTGTAAAAATTAATTTTAATTAAAAATAAGTTAATAATAATAAATTTAAATTGTAATTATCACGTTAAAAAAAAATAGTTTAATTTAAAGTATAGTTAAGTTTAATACTTTTTAAAAAAATTATATTAACATTGTTTATTTTATTACAAATATTATCGACTATTGGTTTTATTTGTATTAATTAATTTAAATTTATTAAATATAAAAATATTTTAAGCATATTATTTAAAAGTAAAAACAATTAAGAAAGTTTATTTTTTAAATAGTTTTTAAGTTTAAAATAAGTTAAAATAATTAAATTTATTGTTTAATTTTATTAATTTATTAATTAAAAGGTTATTAAAACTATATTTTAATTATAAAAAAGATTAATTAATATTTAATTTATTGTTTAATAAATTTAACCATTTAGTTTTAAAAGTAATTTAAATAATAATTTAATAATAAATTTTATTAGTTAAATTTAATTAATTTTTTAAATATTATTAGTTAATTTTAAATTATTAATTTATTTTTATTAAATTATATTATTTAATCTTTAAAATTATAAAAATAAATTATTTAATAATATAAAAATTATATAATAATTAAAAAATATTAATGAAATTTTTTATTAATATAAAGTAATTAATTAAAATTATATTAAAAAGATTTTATTATAAATTATAAATAAAAATATATATAAAAAGGTTAAAATAGTTATTTCCGATATTATTATTTAAAATAAAATTTAAATTTTATTAAAAATAAAATTTATTATATGTAATTTAAATTAATATAGATTATATAAGTTTAAATTTAAAAATTTTAATAAAAGATATTTAATTAAAAATTTGGTTAAGTTAATAAATTTAATTAAAAATTATTTAACCATTTTTTAAAATATTAAAATAAATATGATTTAAGTTATTATTTTAAACAATTATATTAAAACGATTTTAAGTTAAATTTAAAATAATATTTTAAAAAATATTATTTATTATGTTAATATATTTTTTATAAATATTTAAATTGTTTTTTTTATTTAGATTAAAGATATAATTTATAATTAAGTTAATTAAAAAGTTAAATTATTTTATTACTATTATA